TGCAGGGCACAGAAGCGGGCACCTGCCCGGGGATGCGCTCTTGGGCACCCCCCTTCCCGAGCGGCCCGTCTCCGGGTGGCTGGCAGAGCAGCAAGTGAGCCCTGGGGCGGCCGATGTGCCAGGGTGCAGCCCCCGTGGTGGCGCCGGGAGCTGGCAGGCACGGGGGCTCAGGCACGGGGCTCACTTGCAGCATTGTCCCAGTGCCCTGGGCAAATGGCTCTTGGGTACAGCAGAGCTCAGCTCACCTAATCTGGCTCCAGAGAGCCGTTGACGGTGCCTTAGAGAAGGTCATGAAAGAGCTAGGTGGCTTCAGGGCTGAAAAGAATTGTTGTCACACACCAGAGCCAGGCTGGGAGGCAGGGAGGGACGCGTGGGATTCAATGCTCCGTCCTTGTCGGGGGAGAGGGAGCCCTGGGCTCGGCTAAAGAGGGGACAACCGGGGAAGGGGGGCGAGGTGAGGCACTGCACCGGTGTTTCTGCGTGGTACAACCCCAAGCCCTCTGGGGCCGGTGAGGGAGGTGGGCTGCTCAGAGACCTGCACGTGCAGGGGGACGTGGCGTTCGGGGCTGATTCACCGCGGGTGAGGTCTGTGTGCAGGTTGGGCCACCCCGGCCGCCCCAGGCAGCCAAGGCAGAGCTGGTCCACGTGGCCAGTGGCTGCTTCGTGGACACATCCTACGGCAGAGGCGTGCAGGGGGTCCCCGAGGAGTCATGCCCTGGGCTCCGGCGAGTGTCCTGGTGTGCTCTCCCCAGCTATAACGGGACCTGGGCTCCAGCTCAGCACAAGGCATCCGCCGCGGGGAGATAAATCACAGCCTCTGTTTTGACAAATGCAAAGCAATGCACCTTCAAGGGAAGCCACCGGCTACCAGCACCTCAGAGGTGTCTAAATGAGCTGAGCCAGCTCCGGATAGTGGAGAGAGAAGAGGAAGACGGGATCCTGGCTCGGGCCGGACACCCTTTGCACCCCTTGACACCCCGCTCCTGCCAGGGATGCAGCCCGGAGAGGAGCTTCTGCTGCAGCCCCACCAGAGCAGCTGAAGCTACGGTGAAGTGCAATTAGCAGTGAGTTTGTGGCCTCGTTAAGTAGCCAACATAACACTGGCGTAAAATAGGTGTCGGTCAGGGAAGGACTTCTGAGGAGGGAGTGAAAGCAGCAGAAACGGGTCCTGTGTGCCCCGTCCCCCCCATGAACAGAGGGACCTCCTGCCCGGGTGTGTCCCCCAGAGCCAAA